CCCAAAAACGTGCCCGAAATATCCCCAAAATATCCCAAAAACATGCCCGAAATATCCCCAAAATATCCCCAAAATATCCCCAAAACGTGCCCGAAATATCCCCAAAATATCCCCAAAACGTGCCCGAAATATCCCCAAAATATCCCCAAAACATGCCCGAAATATCCCCAAAATATCCCCAAAACGTGCCTGAAATATCCCCAAAATATCCCCAAAACGTGCCCGAAATATCCCCAAAATATCCCAAAAACGTGCCTGAAATATCCCCAAAATATCCCCAAAACGTGCCCGAAATAGCCCCAAAATATCCCCAAAATATCCCCAAAACATGCCCGAAATATCCCCAAAATATCCCCAAAACGTGCCCGAAATATCCCCAAAATATCCCCAAAACATGCCCGAAATATCCCCAAAATATCCCTGAAATATCCCCAAAACGTGCCCGAAATATCCCCAAAATATCCCAAAAACGTGCCCGAAATATCCCCAAAATATCCCCAAAATATCCCAAAATATCCCCGAAATGTCCCCAAAATATCCCCAAAATGTCCCCAAAACATCCCCAAAATGTTCCCGAAATGTCCCCAAAACATGCCCAAAATATCCCCAAAATATCCCCAGAATGTCCCCAAAATATCCCCAAAACGTGCCCGAAATATCCCCAAAATGTCCCCAAAATGTCCCCAAAATATCCCCAAAACGTGCCCGAAATGTCCCCAAAATATCCCCAAAATGTCCCCAAAATATCCCCAAAACGTGCCCAAAATGTCCCTGAAATGTCCCCAAAACATCCCCAAAATGTTCCCAAAATGTCCCCAAAACATGCCCAAAATATCCCCAAAATGTCCCCAGAATGTCCCCAAAATATCCCCAAAATGTTCCCGAAATATCCCCAAAATATCCCCAAAATGTCCCCAAATGTGCCCAAAATCCCCCCAAAACGTCTCCAAAAATCCCCAAAATTCCACATATATTCCAAAAAATCCCCCAAAAATGTCCCCAAAAAAAACCCCCAAAAAGCCTCCAGATATTAGAAAAAATCCCCCAAATGCCCCAAACCCCCCAAAATCCCCCCAAAATGTCCC